CTAGGAGATTTAGGAAAAGCAAGTCTCCTAATTTCATATTTTATTTTGTACTGGATTTAAGCATAGATATAAAATCTTTTAATATTTGCATAATAATATTTTAATATAACTTGCAAAATATAATTAAATAAAATTTATTTAAAAAAAAAAGCTAGCTGTTTGCTTATTACACGCTGTTTTTCTTAAATTACCAACAACAACAAAAAAATTCCGAATGATTAAATCATAAATCGCTTTTGTATTCACACCAAAAACCTTTTCTTAATCATTATCTAATTAGTTGTAATGGGTCATGATGTCTGGGCTTAATGTTTTATGATTAATGGGCTTGTTTCCACTTATACGTGGCCCGTTTGGGCTTTAATGAAATCAAGAGTAGCCGACCAAAAAAAAAAATATATATTCACTCCAAAAACCGTCCGGGTCAAATTTTTGCTGGTTCATCGGGTTTAACCGGGGTTTTGGGTTTTAGCGGTTTAATATGATCCCCGAATTTCAGTGAAACCCAAACCTAAAAACATTGTACACAGCTATTCAGGTATAATTGCTGTATTTTTACTGAAAAAAGTGTCGATGAGATTGGTTTAGGTACCTGATACAAAAGCAATTCTTTGTGAGCTTAGATTGAAACAAGATTTCCCAAATCTTGAAACAAAATTCAGTAGCAAAAATTTCAAGAAAGCACAATTAAAAATTAATAAACATAATATGTTAGTAATTATTTTTTGGTTTTAAAATATAACGATAAAATAATAAAAATATCTTGTTCACAAAATTGTTTGTTTTTCCTTAAAATTTAAAATATATTGTACTTTTTTCAGCCGGGTTAAAAAACAAATAATCAGCCCCTATATAACTATAATCATCATCATTAAAAGTCCAAAACATCATTACCCTTTATCTTCCCCAAGATAACATTTCTTCTTCCCTCCCCATAGTTTCAACGATTCTACTCTCATGGATTCTCACACACTGTCTACAATGGGAGGATGTGCCCGAAGAAAGATGAGGAACTTTGAAATCGCACTGCAAGATTTCGCAGAAGAACAAGATGAGTCGCACCTTTACTGAAGAGGATCTTAATCTTGAAGCTGATTTCTACCGGATTGTTGACGACTTATGGCCGGAGTATCACACGCAGTCGCCTGAGCCGAAGAATCCGACGCCGGAGAAGGAGAAAGCCGCACTGGTAATTTTCGTTTTAGAAGCTTTTCTCTTTGTCGTTCGTTGTTAGAGCATAATCTCTCATCTTTCTCCTTTCTTTCAGTTAGCGATTAAAGACGAAGCCGAATCTATGATTTCAGTGATGGAGATGCGAATGGCTTCTCAAATCTTTCCCGTTGAGGGTACTATGGTCCTGGAATCTTGCCTCTCTGACCTCAAATCTTCATTGTTAGGGAGCGATGTTGAATTAATTAGGGCTAAGGTCCGTTCTGGCCACCGTGCGTATTTTAAGATTATTCGTCCATGGAGAAAAGCCATATTGGTAATTTTCGTTTTTGGTAAAAGATATTATTTCTTTAGCCTCTCCCTCGTACCAACTTGATCCTGGGGAAAATTTGATGAGGATCAAAGAAAAGGCTGAGTGTACAATTAGCGTCGTGGAGATGAGCTTGGCTCCGGAGGCTATGGCTGTCATGGAGACTTCATTGGCTGTTCTCAAGTCGTCAATAACTGGAGATGACATAAACAATATCATGAGTCCACCCACAATGCTTTGTTCACTCTGGAGAGTAACGTTTTGGGTCAAGGGGACAAGGCTATAAACCTAAACAGGTTGGTCTGATTCATACTAGTGATACTGAACTGATAGGTTTGTGAACCATTGATTAGGGAATTAGACCTGTATATAAGGATTGCAGAGCTATTGCTATTACTCTCTTCTTATAGGTTTGTGTACTACTACCTTCTCTTTTGAGTACCCTTCTGGAATCTCGAGATGTTCCTTGGTTCTTGACTGCTCATTATCAAAAAATGTTAGCCTCTTAATAATAATCTCATTTGCATCTGATTACCCTCTTAATGATATCTCTCATTTGCATCTTGTTTTGATTTTTTCAAGTAACGGTTCTTCACTCTCAAAAGCAATTTTCTACGTAACCTATCAGTAGTATTCATCAATGCTTCTAGATTTCTCTCTGGTTCTGGTTTATTTTCAAGGATTTTGTATAGTCAGAACTCCCCCCATAATGCATGGACCATCATATCTCTCTAGTTGACTGATTTTTCTGTCTTTTTCAAATTCTTACTCTTGAACGTCTTCTTCATCTATCAGATCTTTATAGTCTTCTGCTCCTGAATTTGAATCTGGCTGGACTATCTTCTCAACTGTTTCCCTGTTACTTACAGATCTTGAAAGTGATTTCAGACATTTTTCTTCATTTTCTTCTAGTAACTCTCCAGACTTCTA